GGGCGGAACTCAAATATAGCGAGCAGAGAAGTGGCGAATCGAAGCGGTTTTTTTTTATTCGTTTTGATAAATGCAGTTGATTTGACGATCTTTGGCGTTTACTTGCGACAAAATTTGTTAGTTTTTCTTATTGCCATCACATAGTTGGACTGTGCTTAAAAATTGCGGAATGAGTGAGTTTTTTTTTTGTAAAAATTTTCAAGAAAATCGATCAGTACTTGTTTTTGATTGAAAGTTTTATAGAATATGCGGAAACAATATTTAGATCCTATTGTTATTCCATTTTCGGACTGGGCACAAAAAATTGCGGAATGAGTGGCAGTTTTTTGTAAAAAATTTCAAGAAAATTGATCAGTACGTGTTTTTGGAAATTAACGTTTTATATTCGAAGTATTTTGAAAATGAAAACTTTCAAACAAAAATTTAAAAAAATTACCAAATCGAACAATTTTTCGCAAAATTATGGGAACTTAAATAGGAAGGTTTTTTTTTCAAAAATCGGAATCTCGAAACCAGCTGAACAAAAAAAAATTTAAAGAATCAGGGGTCCACTCTCAATTACTATAGCATAAAAAATTATAAAAAACGCCGCAGAAGAAAAAGCGAAACAGTATCCGAATTGGGCTGGAATGCCCCATATATTTTTTCCGCAAATCGAATACATGAAATTCAGTACATCCATATAAATACTTAGGATAGTTCCGATATATTAAAAATAATTTGTGAATGCTTAGTAAGTTTCTTTTAAATAATACATACTTATTCATCTATGCTATTTTTTTGATATCTATCATAGAACTTCATACATTATTAGGTAGTTGTGGTAATTTCGAGCTTATCCGAAATTTCTCTTTTAACCAAAACTATCTTTTATATTCCTTTCCCTCCAAAATACATATATCTCTAATATTTAACGCAAGAGAGCGCCTGCGTTACCCCAGTCTCGGGAAGAACTGATGTTGATTCAGCTAAGCCCCGCACCAACGGCAAGATGCCTGCCCTAGCGGAGATATCCAGGAACATACATACGCAAGTTACACAACCTAAAATGACTATATAAATACATTTCAATTTAATCAATCTTTGTAAAAATTATAAATAAAAATATGGTTGTACCGCATAAATTCTTTAAATATTCAACAACATTTTGTGTTTGAAAATTGTCACAAGTATCACTATCAATAACGACGCCTGCGCACTAATTCGCACAAAACTCCTCTACATTTATTTGCTGTGCTTGCAGCATACCGTGGAAAAGTGATTGCGTATTTTGCGCTAAATCCTGCGGTGTGCCCTCTTCCTTGATCTCACCATGCTCGATTACTATAATGCGGTCCATAAGCTGTAATCCGCGCAATCGGTGCGCTATAAACAGCACAGTCGAACTCTTAAACGAGTTCCGCAGCGCTTGCTGCATAGCGATCGCCGATTCGTCGTCCAAATTGGATGTACCCTCATCGATGCAAACAACTTTGGCATTTTTAAGTAGACCACGCGCCAGGCACATCAGCTGTCGCTGACCAGCTGAAAGATTTATGCCGCCCTTCTCGATGCGTCCGTCCAAACCGCCCAGTGACTGTACTAGCTGTGTAGCTGCGTGGCAGCTGGCAAGCGCATGCCAAATTTCGGAATCATAGTGACTGCAACGTGGATCGAGATTTTCACGTACGGTGCCTAGGAAAATGAAAACAACAAAATAGTAATAGGCCAATGTGTCACTTAAGGATGGTGCAAAAATGCGTCCACGACTCACCTTCGAAGAGGAATGGCTCTTGCGGTATAATGCCCAAACGTTCGCGCAAAACCTTCAACGCCAGCGTTTTCAAATTTACACAATCCAAGCTGATCTCGCCACGACTCAATGGTGCCACTCGCATCAACGCCGCCACCAGCGTTGTTTTACCGGCGCCGGTGCGACCCACAATGCCGACACGCTCAAATGCTTCCGTACGCAAATTGATGTCGTGCAACGCCGGCGCCAAATTGTCGCGATAGCGCAATTCTACGTTCTGGAATTTCAACGCACCCTGACTAGGCCAACCGAACGGTGGATCACATGTGCCTTCAGCATTCTCTTCACCCTCCAGCTGCAGATACTCATTCACACGTTCGACCGCAACAAATTCTTGCTCCGTTTCAGCAACAGCATTTAGTAATCCACCCAATAGACCGGTTATGGAGAGCGCATACGAAATAGCCAAACCTACTAGACCGGGATTTGTGACGTGCGCCGAGGTGATGGCGGCAAGAAAACCAGCGCCAGCTACTAAAAAAACCCCAAGCAGCTGGAGACGTAGACTTAGCCACTGCTGCGCTGCCGCGGAGGTCAATTGCGCCTTTATGCTCTCCTCCAATTTGGCATGGAAGTCACGCTGGAAGCGCGCACTAGCACGCATTGTGCGAATTGTGACCAGTCCTTGTAGAGTTTCGGTGAAATGAGTGTACAGTGGCGATAGTGCATTGCTCGAAAGACGCTTTATGTCGCGCGAAGCGTAACGGTATCGGTATTGCAGGTTGAGATATATGGGTCCATCGGTATGATGATCAAACCAAGCCAAGGCATGGCGTATAAACTTATGCAAAGGGCGCCTAAAATATAATAGTAAGTTTAAGGGTACTGAAATCATAGAAAAAAAAAGAAAAGTAGCAAAAAGTAGCAAACTTACCGGTTAAGCCTAATAACTGAGCCAAGAGGATGTTCATTATGAAGGGGAGTGAATCGTCTACTGTGTATGTGTCCGAGGAGAAGCGAATTCTTATGCGACCAACTGATGTGATGTCGAAGAAATTGAATTTTGCCTAGGAGGGAATTAAATGTTTACTTTTATACGTAAAGGCTTTATTTCTATATATATAATAAAGACTAATTAAGAGAAAAAATGCGCAAATTAATTTTTAAAATCTAAGTTTGTTTGGAAGGTCATTAACCTACATATCCCAGTTAAAATATCGGAAAAAAATATTTCCAACTCTTTTATATCTTTCCTCCTAAAACGCTCTTTTTCAGAATTGTATACTTACGAATAACACCTTACGCAGCAGACGATCGTGTATGTATTTGGCTGCTTTAAATGCCCAAATAATTGCTAGTGTTGTGTGTTGGTTCAGTGTGATTGCCAACGTCTTGCTGATGTGGCACACTGCCGATATGCGTCAAGCCTGTTACATTATTTTGTGGATCCAGCCATGCATCAGACAAATTGCGTGTCAGTTGCATAAGTACAACAAAAGTTAATGTGG